AAAAAGTGCTGTGGGGTAGTTTGTTCATTTTTCAAGTGGGATTAATACATTCAGCAGTAAAAGAGTAATCTTCTCCATATCCTCTCCATTAACCTGGTCAGCAAGCTCCTTTCAACTCAAGACCAGCAACTGATTTCTATGAGATTGACTGAAATCCAGTTGACGAAATTGAAAAGAAACCATGCTTTCACAAAAAAATGAAGTAACAGTAGCCACCAGCATTTGGGAAAAGAATTAGCTAATAAACTTATTTAAGGAATGTATTTGAGAAGGACTTCTCCAAAGCTTTGAAATAACAGACTTGGTTGCAATTTTTTCTTTTGAGGGTAAGAAGTTATTGGCTTTCAAAGTGCCTGTACTTACTCAGGCAAGCATCATCCTACCAACCTTATTTCCCACAAGCGATTAAAAAAACCCAAAGGGCACCGCGTATGTTCCTAGGTGAGCAGTGCTGGAGCGAGGAGGTGTCAGCTACAGGCTCTGCCACTGCTGCAGGGCACTGCAGGCACAAGCTGTGCATCTCCGGGTGCTTTCAAAGCGTGGATCAGACAGGCTTACTGCATGAGGCAGGCACCTGTACTGCCGCAATTATTTGATCATATTAGTCATAATCTCACCTCAAGTCAGTTTTATTTGGTAAATACAGGATTAAGAGTCTGGGAAAACAATAACAAATATTCATCTCGTAGACAGAGCAAAACTGTGGGTACAGCTCTCTCTTTTAAGAAGGCAGATGTCCTACTAAGAAAAGTCAGAGATTTTCAGCCTTCCCACTCCAAAGTTAGTCCTCATTTTCCATGTCGGTGGCTTTGCCTTCTACTACATTTTTATACACCCCAGACTCCTTTTTATGGTTATCTTCAGAGGCAGCCCAAGCAAAAAAGGTTTTCCCAACCCTAAAAAAAAAAAATCCTCAGAATTTTCCTATTTAACCTAGTAAGAAGCTAAAACCTTATGACACTTCAGAAAAAGCTCTCTCTAGCCCATAGGTCTGGATCCCAACCCTGCACGAGACAGGGCACAACACAAATTGTACTCTGTCTCATTCAGACCAGAAATGTGACCCCTAGTCTCAAAGATCCACCACGCAGAATCTTCAGGTCTCTTAACCTGACTCTTGGGCATATGTTAAGCCCAAGCTAAATTAACTCAGCTGAATCCTTTTCGCCCTTGAAGACATATACATGCAACAACCACACAGCCGCACGTGGCCCTTAACATGACGATTGCTTCTCCGGGTTATGCAGGATCAGCAGACATGGGGATTTTCGCTTGCTCTGAGCAGTGCAGAAAGAATTCACATAGGTGAGCCCTCTATATGAATTTAAAAGTAGATGCACTTGAAACAGTCACAAAATTGACTTTGGACCAAAGCATTAGAAGCAAAGACCGGAGATGAACTGACTTTCAACTGTCCAAAAGAACTAAATTCCCACAGAAAAGGGG